AAAAACACAAAGCGTATGTCTTTTTCAAAGGTAAATAAACAATATGGCTCACTGTGACACTATGATTCTAGCTGGTCATATTCTTCTCCCTACACATCATGCTCGGGGTAATTACCATGACCATGATCATGTAAGACTGTTCTTGATCTTCTTAGTTTTTTCTTTCACGTTCTTGAACAGATTATTTGCTCCACTCTTTTTCGATTCTCTTCTTCCTCTCCCCCTGACTCTTGTGTTGATATCTACATGAACCTTGGGTGATTCGTATCTGATGTGCTAATCGCATCTGTTATAATCACATTAACCAAACACCAGTCCTATGCATGTTTTTGTTTTCACTCTTTAAGTTAGAATATAGATATATGATGATGAGATTAGTTTAAAAATTACCTTCAAGTTTTCTTCTTTGCTTTGTTGCGAAAGAGAGCAAGGTTTCTCTCGGGGCTGGTTAATTATCTCACAAGCGGCCTTATATGATCCGAGATGACCTCAGTGCAATCCAGAACCATGACCGACGTTAGCTATTCTTAAGTTCAGCATCTCCGGTTCACGGCATATACATCCACCTCCACGATCTTTATGTTTATCCGACGACCTTTCATATTACTTAGATAGCTTTTTATGCTTTGACCAAACTAAAAAAAAACAAAACCTCCTAATCAAAAACGAAGAGGCTCGCTTAGACTGAAAATAAGTTTCTAATTGTGAATCCTGATGAATGTGGATGAAGTTTAGGGGATGAAGTTTAGAGGATGAAGACTGACCTTTTTATAGTTTTGAATGATGATTAATCGTCATGATCATCGGTCAATAATTAAATATGGCTGTTAATGGCGATGAATCATGCTCGTAAAATCTCGGAAAAGAAGGTTACACGAAACAACGAACAACGCGAAGAAAGCTCGGGCAAGAGATTCCTTCTGAATATTTATCTCACACAACCTCCTAAAACTCCATTATTGGCTTGTCAGAGATATAATAAGATGTTGATCAAACCTAGATTTCGAAATTGCCATTCATCGTGAAGAAGAAAATGTTAAAGGCGAGAAGGCAAAAGTGAATTGGCCAACCTTTTGTTAAATCCAAGGCTACATTACAGGTAAATAGAATCCCATAAAATACAAACGAAATCAACATATTTTTGGTTTAGATAAGACAAGTGTCAAGCTGTGGTTACCTTATTTGATAACTTGGGAATATAAGAAATGAGAAAATGTTCTTTATGAAAATTTGTATTATGAAAATTTGTATTTTTTTTCCGTTTTAAATATTCTTGAATAATTTTAATATATTATACTTCTAAGTTTTCAGATAAAATTATTTTGTCATGAAATCGTTATACATTGTTAGAGAAACAAATAAATGGATGGTCAATGATCTGATTATCATATTCCTGTAAACATAGTTGTCTTTAGTAGTTCTGGCCAGTATTACGTATAATTGCATGAAATAACAGGTGATGATTCTTGAGAACAGTGACATATTATATCGCTTAGATACCTTGAATGAATGCTTCAAGCTTTGATAGAAGTTGATTTCTATTCATTTGAAGATTTATATTTGGTAATAATTGTTTTTTTTTCTTTTTTGTTGAAGGGTTGGATTTTGTGTTGTCGAGGAATAACCGAATACATAATTTAATGAAAGATTTTTTAATATATATAAACATTTTTTTTCTTTTTTAATATATATAAATTTGTATTGTCTATGTTTTATTCATTCTCTTAAAACTAAACATTTTTAATATGTATGGTAGTGTTTTAATAACGATTATTGACGGTTAATTTTCCGTAAGTGCTAGGTGTGTTTGTGCTTTACGCTCTAATTGATAACCACTAAAATATAATATAAAAAAAATGAAGAGAAACAAAATAGTAGAAAAACAAATTATTTATTTTTCCTTCTCAGATTAACTAAAATAATAATTTCTTATGATTCTCTAAATTAAAAGAATGAAAAATAATATTGGAAAATATTCTTTGTAAATAGTGAATATCTTAGCTACTTTTAGAGTTAATATCCAAAAATATATTAAAATGCATAATATATTTTGAAATTATCAAAAATATTTGAAAATATATACAAATAGTCAAAGTTAAATATCTAAAATAGTTAAAAAATACTTACAATATATATTGATGCTCTATCAAAAATGTTTAAGACAGACTACGTTTCCATTTAATTTAGGAATTTTGACATATATTTCTCAAATTTATATTTAATATATCATTTCTATTTTTATATTTTTGAGAACTTTAAGTGTATATAAATTTAAAAAAATTTAAATTAATTTAAACAAATTATCCGAACCGAAGCAAATCCAAACCGAATTTTATAAATATCCGGTAGGATTCAAAATTTTAATTCTGAAACACGAATTAATAGATCAAACCAAACTTAAATGAATATCAAACACCAAAACTTATTTATATATACGTTTTATGGTAGTTAGTTGTGAGTTTCCAAAGGTTCCATGCAAGTTACGTATTAAATATTGGAGGTATAATTGCTTTGTCAAACGTTTCATGTGGACGTTTGTAACTTATCCTCGCACTCGGGTGGCTTAGACCACTTCCATTGGTTAGAATCTTGGAAGGGTTCTAAAATTAATTTATTTGTTAATTGTGTATTTTTTGAAATTTAGACTCCTTAATATTGTAATTAGTTTTGATAAGGTCCCGTATGAGTTCTTAGACCGAAGAATTATTTCTTCTAGCTTTTATTTTTCTTTATTATTTCTTGCTATAGTTGAAGGTTAAAACAGAAGCTATAGTTGAGGTAAAACTGAAACGATTGTCTTATTTGCTTTCTAATTTCCATCTATATTCATTCTTACTGTTTTTTTTTGTGTTATTAATTCTTTGGACAAAAAAAAACTCTATAAAAGAACTAAAGCAAAGCAATGCCTGAGATATCTCCGATCAGATGAAGTTTATAAATTTCTTCATATTTCGTAGTAATATCCTGCTTATAGTTTGTCCATATCATTAATACCTTCTTGACATTATGTTAGATATAAGATACCAATACATGTTGTGATATTTTGGTATATGAATAAAATATTAGGATTTATATACAAATTTTGGTTTTAAACTATTTTAGTGTTGCTGCATAAAGTCTCTTCAATAGATCCATCTAAAGAATTTCACGTACGCAGTTAAAGAAATGATGTGTAGTTTGGAGAACTCAATCAGCATACATATGGAGAGAATCTCAAGAGAGGAAGTTGAAACGGAGGCACATCTAATCGTAGGAGAAGAAGAAGAGTGAGTGAGACTGAAAAGTATTTGGAAGCTGAGGCGTTAAGAGTTAGAAGAAACATCTGATCTAGGTCTGTGATCTCACATGAGTTGTTTGTTGAAGATGCCCTCCATACCCTTCACTGGAGACCTGAATATAGGCGGGTGAGTTTCCCCTGAACACTAAGTCAAGTAGCTTTTCATACCATCACTGCAAGTAGTCCCAAGAACATCAGGAAACAGTTCGAAAAAAAACTTAAAAGTTTCAAGTGTAAAATCAACCTTACCAGCTGACTTCATATTCATCAACCGTTAGGTTAAAAAAGATAAGAAAGTTATTTTTCATTTGATTTATTTTATGAACCTTAGCTCAGGTTCGATGTTCACCTTAACGTCTTCTCTCTCCTTGCCACTCAATTCCCAAAAATGCTTGTCAAGAGAGAAGATGACTTTGGCAAGAGTGCAACGTTACTATGAAAAGCATGACACACATACTGTCGGTTCTACACTTATTTTCATCCTGCAGAACGAAAGTAAAACACTTGAAAGACATTCATTTAATAACTAATAAATTATTGGAGTGGAGGATTGGCACGTTTAATTGTTTACCTTTTTCTTGGTATTTTAATTTTAATAAACAGTTGCTATTAACTCTCCATGACTGAACAACCAACTATACCACATGAATGGCAGCAAACAACAAACGTAAGTTCTCATGATCATAAGTTCCAAGCAGTTTGAGAGAGAAGTCTAAATATATATGAGATTAAATTATCTCCCAAAGAGTGAAAATAAAATTTCGATATAAATTTTTGAAAACTCTGAGATTCAACGCCTGATTCTGTTTTTAAACCACGAAGATCATGCTCCTCCTAGACGACAGCTTTAGTTTTAAGCTAAGATGATCAAACACATGTAAGAAAAGACATCGTAATCAACAAACGGATTCATAATTCTATCTCTAATAGGCTCGTTAAAGATTTGGAAACAAAAGTCTGTATGTTATGAGTATAAACACCTGCGTTAGTTTTAAACTAAGATGATCATGAAGTTTAAGAATGGAGTCACCTTAGCAGAAGCATGTCCACACCCGTCAGCTCTCCACCGCGCTTGCTTCCCAAAATCAGAGCAGTGGCACCGTGGCGGTTAAAGACCAGCGGCCAACCTTCAAATCAGAGAGAACGATTGATGGTTAGCCTTTATACTGGTTTAAGAAAGAAAAAAAAGTAGTAAACAAAGCCAAATTACACATTTAGAACGCGCTGATGAAGAAACTATTATACTAACCTCTGGTTTTGTATCTCTGTGAACCAGACCACGCAAATGACATTCAGCTGCAAATTTTATAATCTGACTTACTACAATGGCCGCGTCTTTCTCGGTGTAATGACTATCTTTCCTGTAAAAAATAGCAACAAAAAGTATTAAGACTCTAACATTTTGAAAAAACTAAAATGTATCAGTCAGGTAGTTACAGCCAGTATCCGATCCAGAAATTCACCACCCTCACATAGTTCAAATCGAAAAGAAACACAGAATCAGCCATTGCAACAATAGTGAATGGTGAGATATGAGGATGGTTTTCAGAGTACGAAGCATACCTATTTATACTTGTAGAGACACTGATTTGCAGTAGCTTACACCATATCGATGTTGAGAAAGAGTTATTAAGCCGATAAATGGAACGTACGTGATTGGCACCGATTCAACCGAAAGGTAAGGAAGTCGAAGAGGGAGATGAGCTAATAGGAAACGAACCGACGCGCAGAGCTACCCCCATCTATCGTCTGTCTCGGCTGGGAGCAGAGTCCGTCAAGAACCCTAACACCTCTAGATGTCGGCACATCATAGACGCGTCAATAATAACCTAAGGCCCATAACCATGAATAAGCCCAACCACAAAGTGATAGATCTTAACCAAAACGCAGAGTATCGGAAGATAGAGACACGTGTTATCTGGAGAGGAAGTGAATATCTGATGTGGCACAACCGTAGGGAAGAAAAGCTTCCTTTATATAATTAGATATTATTAAAACTTAAGTACAAAATATAACTTTGTTTTCAATAAGAATTGTTACATATTTTCTTTCTTTAATTTCATTCATCTTAACTAATTTATTAATTGTGTCTTTCAAAACAACTTGTCATCATTTAATATCGAAGTACAAAACATAGTTACTTATTTTTAAGTGTTTCTTTTACATTTTTTCACTCTTTCAAACTACTTCCCTAATTGTATTTACCATAATAATTTAAAATCACTTATCTTACGTGTTAACTATAATAATTTCACATGTCTGAATGAAATTATTCCATTGGTACAAGAATTTCAAACCGATTAACAAATAATTGTTTTTTGTTTACATAGTAAGTTAAACATGGGAATTATGGTACACATTTGGATACAGATCAGGTTTTGGGTATTAGTTTTTTTAGATTTTAAAATTACATTTTGCTTGGATATTATAAATTTCAGACGGGATTCAAGTCGGATTCTTTCAGATCTTGATAGGTTCATAAAAATTTTAAAAATATACCTATAGATATATGTTTAAAAATGTTATTAAACTATTTCTAAAAAAGTAAACTAATCCTGCACAGACACGTGGATCAAGCTCTAATATTCTATATAGATACAACTGATCACTTCATCAGACATTGAGGGGTAAAGAAAGAAAAACTCGATACAAAGGCGTTAGAGCAAGTTTTCAATGCCCTCCAATCTGGATGGTGGAGGTTTTTTGTCTTTTTAATAGTAACTACAACCATCACACCTAATTTAATATTATTTTAAAATAAAACTACAACACTGTTTTGTGTTAAATTGTATTATCTTATTACCAACCAAAATACTAATTATTGTATTATATATATTATTACGAAATTTAATACCAAAATACTGTTTGTTTAATATTATTTTAATTATTGTATTATATATTACTACGAAATTTAATATTTGTGTGTTAATTTTGATAAAAATAATTATGTTAACTGATTAATTATAAGATAAATATAAATTATCATCTATAGATTGATGTTTAAATTTCTAATAATTTATAATATATCGTATTGCAGTTAGTTATTACATTTTTCTAGCTTATGTTTTCATTGTAGCACTTTAAAAAAGTTTTGTATTTTAAATCTGAATTGATTTACATATTAATTATGATATAATATCAAACATTTAGAATGTTCTGATTTGGAAATAAAAATACAAAAAATTGACTACATTTTTTACGTATGGTTTATTGTATTAAACTTTAATTTTAGTAAACGTAATTTAATCTTTTTTTCATTAACAACAAAAGGTCGTCCTATTACATAAACAAAGTAGTTCGAGAAA